GAATATACACAAAGGAAAGACACTGTGAAGAAATGAAAGATAGCTATCTTGGTTTATATTGCTGTGATAAAACACCACAACCAAAAGCAACCTGGAGAGGGAAACATTTATTCTGTCATAAAGGGTAGTCAGGGCAAAAACTCAAGGTAGGAACTGAGCCTGGAGGTAGGAGTTGAACTAGAAGCCATGAGTTTTACTTTACTGGCTTGTTCTGTTTCTTACAGCACCCAGGACCACTTGCGCAGGTGTGGCACAGCCCACAGAGGACTGGGCCCTTCCACATCACCCATCAACTAAGGAAATACACAGATATGCCCACATCCACAGGCCAATATGATTAGAGTATTGTTATCAGTTGAGCTGCACTCTTCTCAGATGGCTCTATTTTCTATAAAATTCACAAAAGCTATCCAACACAGTGGCCATACATAAGCCAAGGAGAGAGGTCCTCCAAAGCTTACTTTCACCTTAGACTTCTAGCCTTTAGAACTGTGAACTAAGCAATTTCTGTCTATGGGACTTTGTTATTAATCCTCAGATAACAGCCATCAGGGAGGTTGTGTGTGTGTGTGTGAGAGAGAGAGAGAGAGAGAGAGAGAGAGAGAGAGAGAGAGAGGGAGAGAGAAACCAAGGGGAAAAGTGAATGACCAAATGACCAGGAAATGGAAATGGATATGAAGTCCAGGAACCGCTGTGGAGAGGGATGTCTGGAATCGCTGGATGGCCCTAGTGAAATCTAGCAGGAATCTAGAGATGATAGTAACTGCTGGTTAGTTTATGTTGCTGTAATAAAACACCATGACCCAAGTGACTCCTGGCAGAAAGTTTCTCTCAGTTTGCAGTTCCAGAGGGAAAGACCAGCATGTTTGGAGGCATAGCAGCAGGCAGCAAGAGCAGGCAGCTGAGGGATCACATCTTCAACCACATTCAGAAAGCACAGAAAGCGAACTGGAAGTGAGGTGAAGCCACAAACTCTTAAAGCCCACCTCTAGTGACATGCTTCCTCCAGCAAGGTAGCATCTCCTAAAGGTTAACAATGTTTCTTGATCTGTGGTTGTAACCTCCCAAATGACCATTGTAAAACATTTGCTTTTACATTATGATTCAGTAACATAACAGTAACAAAATTACAGTTATGAAGTAGCAACAAAAATAACTATATTAAATGGTCACAACATATAAAACCACTGTTCTATAGCCTTCCCAAATGATACCACCAAATTGGGTACCAAGGGTTCAAATAAGCCTATGAGAGATGTTTTTTCACTCCTACTACCACAATACTGAAACATCTTACTGAGACAAGAATGCCTGAGTGGGTGTGGAAAGTCAGAAGACACTGGCTTAGGGAGCTAGTTCTGTGTTCCAGTTGAATCAGTAGGGGCTGGACCACAGCAGATGAGCCTAAAGAATGTTAGGCCTGATGGTTGAAGAACATGGCTTGTGAAAAATACAAGTTCTCAGATGCCACACATGATTTCCTGGGTACAAATCTTTAGGTGAGGAGTTTGGGACAGTTTAAACGAAGCCATGGGATGGCTCAATAAATTTGAGAAACATAATTAAAGCATGAAAATAGATTAGTTAAGTATCACAGTAATTTATCTACACATAAATGAATTGAAACCAACATATATCTAAAAGGATATACTCATTTGGGAGATTACAGGTCGGGCCCAGGAGACGATTTATGTATTTAGGAGAATTCCTTTAATTGTACTATTAGGTAGAATACTTATTGCAGCTCCATAGTTTAAGAAACAGGAAAGTAACCCCAGTGAAACACTACAGAATAAGCAAATAATTAGGAGACATAATGACAAATAAAATTACAGGAGTGAAGTTTTTATTTCAGAAGTACGTAACTTTGTCAAATCTTTGATTTTGAGAAGAGATAGAGCATTCACAGATTCCAAAGGGAGCATCTTTCACATTGTAACAAATCTGAAACTACAACATCTTGCTTGGCTGGTTGTAAACAAATGTATTTAGTGGTGTGTAAAATAAACACATAATGGAGTTTCTTCCTGCAGGTTCTGAGAACCCCTGGAGTGCTGAAAGCACAAGACAGTGGTTAGTCTTTCCATTTCTTCTTACGTGTAACAACAAGCGACACAGGTTTGCTCCTTGCCTGTGTGCCACTCAGGCCTCCTCTACAAACTTGACCATACTTGTAGCTCTAACATCAGCCAGCCCATTTCACTGTGTCACCAACCCTGCTCCCCTAGGCTGCAGGAATGTGTCCTTTGTTGGGAGATTCTTATTGTCTTTTGCATCTACTTTCTGTTTCTCTGTGTAAATCTTTTTGATATTCTTCTGGGACCAATGAATGTTTATGCTGTTTTATCACTTTGTAACATCCTAGGTTCATTTCCTGAAGCTTGCAGCCGAAAATAGCTTTTTCCTCTGTGTGTCTCTCTTAGAGCTTTTACCTCACTTGATGGCAGAGGACAAGCTTTCAGTTTGGTTTTTCTCAACCCCACCTTAGATATAAGCAATAGGAACTCAAATCTGAGTACTTTTAGAAGACAGAATTTATCAAAAGCTAGGGAGATGGTTCAGTGAATAAAAAGCTTGTTGCGCAAATTACCTGAGTTTAAAATTCCAGAACCCAGATAATCTGGAAGCTACCTAGAGCATTTATAATACCCCTGCTTCTTTGGTGAGTTGGGAGGCAGAGACATGAGAGCCCTCAGATGCTCGGGAACCAAGCCTGATAGAAGCAGTACAACACACAACCAAGACACTGCCTCTTACAAGGTGCGAGGGAAGGACCAGCAACCAAGCTTGTCCTCTCACAGCTTCACATGATGTGGCACAGGCATATCACACATATGTGCATACACTCCCCACAATACAGGGACACAAACAAGAACAACAATCATAACAATTTACTGAGGCATGCGAAGTGTATTCCAGGAACACAAGGAAACTTGGATACAATTGTCAATGTCCCTGTGCGGTGGGCTCCCACTCCTGGCTCTGCTTTCTTCTGCCTTGCTTTATTCCCTGTTAGACCTCCCTTTACAGTGACAAGGCTGACCAGGTTCAGCCTCAGGCCTGCAGCCTTCCAATGCAGCAATTGTGCTGACACACTGACTTTCCAACGACTTCAACAAATGCTCAGAGACTGTGCTGTTCAGGGCTGGACTGGGCTAGACAAATCCCCATGACTAGACAAATCCCTTTGGGAAGTGGAGTGGAATTGCTCCACCAGACCAGACTGGGGTCAGTTTTGACTAACTTACTCCAAATTGTTTCTTACTCTTCTGATTTTACATAAAAAGCTCCCACACCTCAGGAAACTCCTCAATTTAGTGTAAACCAAGACAGTGTGTACCTTATAGGTCCATGCTGATGATGACGGAGTACTGAACTCTCATAGACTAAGAATGGGGGAGAGGGCATACTGGAGTGTTGGCTCTGTGGTAAAGAGCTGGTACTGTTCATTCAGGGGATCTGAGACCACTAGCTTCCTCAGGCACCTGTCCTGACTTGAACACAAAGCTACACACAGACACTTGCATATACATAATTGAAAATAATATAAATAAATATAAATTTTTAAAATGAAAGTGGGTAGTCTCCATTAGAACCACAAGAAAAAGGAAAAAGAATACTGGCCAAGCAAAACACCAGACAATAGCTTTTCTGTTCATCTTTTTAGATTAGAGGCCCCAAAGGTGCTGTATCTTACTCGTTTTCATTTCTTTGGTGGGGGATGACCATGTTAATATTCACATAAGAAAGCGTCAGGAGAATTTTTGCTCTCTCATTTTGTTAAATACTTGGGGAAATATCTCTTAGGATGAACAAATGTCATGATAGATTATATAGGACCATTTTAAACAGAGTTTCCATGTAACAAATCTCCATCCCTCCTAACTGAGACAATGCAAATGCAATATTGCTTAAAGCAAGGTGGGTGCATGATTTCATTCACTGAACTTTCAAAATCACTCTGACGCTATGTTTCATAAGGTAGCTTTATGCATTACAGCTACAACAAAGCCTGTGTTATGATTTTTCATATAATAATCTAGCATACATCAGAATCCGAACTTTAACCTGCTCTCCTGAGGATCTGAGATTGATTCAGCCTTTTGTGTTTCATGACTGTCTGGCAATGAGCAGGGTTGTTTTGCTTTGACCAGGATGTGGCTTTTGCTCTGAAACCATTTTCCTGTAACATTCTGACCTAACTCTTGCCAACAATGAGGTAGACATCATGGTTTTGCTTGTTGTTTTTGTTTGTTTGTTTTCTTGAAATGCATAAAGGGCTACATCTTTAACTTTAAAAACAGAATAAAATTATTTTAATATTTGGGTTAATGAACAGATAGGAAATCTTGAGCTTAGTTCATGAAGGAAAAAGAAACATCCTTTGACATGCTGGTTTAAATCTTATGTTGCCTTTGGAGACAAGGACTCTTAGTCCCTGTGAATTCAGGCTGGCCAGTTCTTTCTAGAGCATATATTCATTTGTGCATAATGAGTTCAGACTATTGCTTCCTTGCAGTCTCTAACACAGGGTGAGTTTAAAGGTTCTCTATATAAAACTGTCTTTTCAAAAGCTGAGATGAAAAAATATTATAAATGTCATTCTTTTGTCTACCTAAATAAAACATGTTTATGTCAAAAATCACATTAGAAATGAAGATCGGTCTTAATGCCACATTCTTTTGTTTTTTTCATTCCAAGAAGAAAACCTTAGTGGACATTTCTAGCACCTACTCCATCTCAAATCTACTAAGGAAAAAGTAGTTTTGGAAAAATAATTCCTGTCCACTGCTCGGCTTAAGATGTGTATGGGAAGACTAGTAATTACCTGCTTTTGTTTTGTTTTTACTTGCTTAGGGTTGGGCATGTGAGGCAGAAACTAGTCTAACTGACATGGAGGTGTCATCCCTGAGAGACCAAACCCCGAAAAGTCACTTATATTACTCAGGGTTCATGAATAAAACATGGATCCTATCATTCCTGTAACTGCAGGTAGTTACCTTTACAGGAAAGGAAATAGATGCCAATCCATTTCCAGGTAGGAAGAAAGAGCAGTGTGCTTGAGTGAAGCCACAGGCTCTGAGTTGCTAAGTCAGCGATTTCTGAAGTGCACCTTCTCTCTGAATTTCTTGTTCTACAAGAAAAGAAATAACCCTTATCATTTAGTCCTACTTAAGATAAATGTCAAGTATGGTTGATATGGGAAATGTAAGAGAGATAACCGGAGTCTGGTGCCTTTGTTTTCGACTACTTTATCTTAAAGCAGAGGAGACCAGACTACATGGGACTCTGAGCTGATCCACACACTCTGAGCTGATACACACACACACACACACACACACACACACACAAGCAGCAGCGATAAGGAAGTTTTTCTTTCTCTTGGTGATCAGCTCACTATTCTCTTTATTACATGTGCCACCCATATGGCACTTAATTCTGTTATTATTTTTTTTAAGCAATTGTGTCCCCGGCAAGGAAGCAGCCAGGATATGCAGAATCCCAGTCCCCAAATGCAGAAAGTTTAAGTTCTGCTACAAGGTGTATTATGTAAATCCTCCTCAAACTCCATCTTACTCTAACTACTCTTCAAAATGGGGGGCATTTTAAGGACTCAAGGTAACAATCACAGCTAATACCATGATCAGTAATTGCACCAAGCACTTTATTTGCTTTACTGACCTTATCTGACCAGAAGCCCGAGAGGTTGGTACTGCAGGACTAGCTGTGAGGATAAGGACATGAAGCTCCTAACAGGTTGAGACACATGCCCAAGATTACTCACTGCTGGCAACGAGGACCTGTGGATCCAGGATGCTTCCGTTTTTTTTTTTTTTTTTTTTTTGGTTTGTTTGTTTGTTTTGTTTTGTTTTTGTTTGTTTTGTTTTAATGCACAGGGTAGCTAAGCTTGAAATTGGGATCAGTTTATCAAGGCAAATTAATAATGAGCAGACGACAATCAGATTAAAATTGTCTCCTTGGTTGAACCCATGCTCTTAGCTGTGGCTAAACTCTCAACTCACAGCAGGGCACCAAATTCAGCCTTTGCCCCCAAGAACCTAGGAAATCCAGCCAGTGAGTTCACAGCTCAGTCTTTCAGATTTCGGGATATAGTGTATGATTATTATAGCCCTAATTCATTTTATTGTACCCCCTGTGTATCTGGTGTATATACAGTAATGAAAATACTCTCTGGGCCCTTGCAGTTTAACAGAGGAGAGCGCATTCAACATGGAACACCTTAAAATAACTCATTAAATCCAACAAAGACTGAGGACTTCATTGTCAGGTTCATCTTTGGGCATTACAGATACAAAGGAAAAACAAAAAAACAAACAAACCACTAACCTCTCTTTGTCAACTGTTTCTGGGCAATACAAATATTAAATAAACATTTCTGTTTGGCAATTCTGCTAATTAAGTTTGAAGTTGGATTCTTCAGCTATTTGACTAATAGTCCTTTTAAAGTCAAGAGCATAATTTCACGTACACAGCTGTGTGAAATGTCAAAATAAGAACAAATTTAGTTTGCGGACCCTAACTGACTTTTATCTGGGACAGTAGAAGCAGGCAATACCTTATTTTGAATGGCCAGAGGAGGAGGATTTTATAACAGCAAGAGAATTCAAAAAGGCAGAAACATGACCAGAAAAAAAAAAAATGAACTAGTTGTTTCAGAGTTTCTTTCCTTGTACAGGTGAAAGCAGAACGAACTTCCTCATCTTCTGGCTAAACTGGGCACCCATAACTAGGGAAACAAGAAAAGGGGAAGGCCAGGGAGAGAGAAGCAAACCTTTTCTCCTAGGTACAATTCCGCTCCACCTGTCTCCGAGTGGTACAGTGCAGGGAACCAATGGGAAAGGGAGTCGGGCGGGCTCGGGCACCCAATCCAGGTAAGCGTCTCGGCCTCCGCCGCCGTCCACAGCCGCTCCCCGCGGTGTCCAGCAGCTGCGCCCTCGGAGCGCCCCCCAGCAGCACCGGTCCTCGCGGCGTCCCGCTGTCGCCCGCGGGGTGGGCGTCCGCTACTGCGCAGGCGTCCCAGGAAGCGCTGGGCCGAGCGGCGCTCCGCCCGGGTCCGCCTAGCCCGCAAGTAGCCCGGAGCGCGCGGTTCCGCTAGCGCCGAGTTCCGCGCGCGGGACGGAGGGGGCCGCAGAGGCGGGTGAGTCCTGAAGGGGAACGCGCCACTCCCTTCCCCTGCACCCCGGCGGCGGAGGGTAGAGACGCTGGGAGCCTCCGGTCCCTTCTCCTCCGCGCGCGACGTCGGTCGGCTGGCTGGTGGGGGCGCGCGGGGTGCCCGGGGGCGGCGGGGAGGAAGAGCGTCCTGCGGCAGGTGGATGTTAACTGTGGCGTTAGGTGAGGGCGGGGCCGCGGTCGCGGGGCGAGCGACGGGGCCTGGGCCGCGTCCCCGCTCCAGGCTTAAGGCGGCCGTGCTGTCAGATGGCCTTCCTGTCCTAAAATCCGGAGATCCAGCGGAGGAGGATGCCGGGTGCTGGGTCAGGCGCTGCACAAACAACCCTTCCCGTGCCAGTCCGCGCCCCGCCGGAGGGCTGTCCAGCCAGGGACCGGAAAATTCCGGTGCGCTTGTGGTAGGACTCCGCAGGGGCCAGCTGCAGGAGTGCGCAGCAGTGCGGTCTGTCCTTTCTTCCCGTTTCCCCAGAGATTTCTCAGTTTTTAAGGGGACTCGGAGCTTTCGAGCTTACTCCCCGACCCTTAACCCTCACCTAAATTTAGACTCTGTATAACTGGGAAGAAATTCTGTTGGATATACAATGAGGGGCGTTTTATGCGTAATAACTGACTCGAAGATGCTTGTGTGGCCTCGAACAGCGGAGGACCATTTAGAATGCTAGAATCTTTAAAAGGCTTAGAAAGCTTTAAGGTTATTGGGTTTCTTCTCCTGGATTGTTGAGCGCTTCATAAAAATCTGTGGGCAAACTACCTGTTACCCGTGCACACAGGTAATAAAAGATAATGCTGTTTTAAAGCCACATTTGTATTTCATTTCATCAAAGAGTAGCTGGAATGCTAATGCTGGCAAGTGGCTTTTACCTTACCCTCTTTCAACCCAAGCCCTTGATGGTCTAGGATTTAGTGAAAGATGACTGACATGCATTCCATCAAGGCAAGACAGTCAACCCAGAGAAGGTAAGGGATGTTTTGTGTCCCAAATTAGAGACTACATCAAATTTCCAGGTACTGTTAATTGGATACAATCTAGATGTGTCTGCTTTTTTATTCCCTTGAGGTTTTTGTTGGTGTGAAAATTACAGAATTTCTTGTAACATTTTATAATTTTATTCTTGGAACCATAGCTTTCTAATTCCATGAAAATGGTTTGAAGACCTTTTTTACTGGTGCTTTGTTTATAGCTTAAGACTTGGTGTTAGAATGAAACATGCCCGGCTAAACATGGATCTCTGCATTGCTAGGGAAAGATGTTCTGCCAGGCACGGTTCTCTTTAGTATGGAGCGCGTCATCAGACTTGTTAGTGCGCCGTGTTTCTGTACTTGTTACAGACATGAACTTAAGAACGCAGTAAACTTTCTGAGCTCAGTGGATTTCAGCTTCACTGTGTATAAAAAGTCTAAAATCTTCCAATGTCATGTTTTGTAAAATCTCTGTAATGTTCTGGCTAACTAATAGCACAGGCCTAAGTAATTTTACAACTAAAATGGATGAGGGAGATAATATTGAGGATTCTTTCATTATTGAGGATCTGCGTTTAGCCTTTATGCATCCCCATTTTATGTACACAGAGGTAGAAGCTGAGTGAGACTAGATGACCAAGAACCCCATTTCTAGGTGTGGGCTCAGCTGCAAAGCCTTCTCAGATTGAAGGCTAAAGACTTTCTACTTTGTCCCTGTTGCTAAGCTTAAAGAAAGGACTGCTGTTGTGTCCAGGCAGTGTGCTAAGAGTTTTCCCAATCCTGGGATTCACAATAGCATGTATTTTTAAACATCCTTTTTATTCAGGATTGTTCATTTGTGTTTTGTGGAAGAACAGCAGACACAGGTTTCATTAAGTCCTATAGCTTTGCATATAGGAAGTAGTGCAAATTATTCTCATTTTAAGACACCCAAATCTGCATTATCAGATGCATAATTCACACTAGCTTTTGCAGTAAAATGAGATGATAAAAATGTTTGCTATTTAAGAATACAGTTCCACTTTTTAAAATACAGTTTTATTGACAAATAAGAACCATGCCATTGAATTCACTTGTTTAAGTTGCAGCCTTAGGAAATTATAACCCTCATCACCATCAACCTGAAAGCACTTTTCAGCACTCCCGAAAGAAACTCCCCCTTGGCATTTACTGACTCTTTCTCACACGCCTGCCTACCCCTATGCATTTCCCCTCCTGAGCACTTCATTTAAGTACAATCATACGATTGTTTCTGTGCTCTTACATTTATGTTCTTGGCACGACATCTAAATTTTGGACATAACCAAAGTTCTAAAGATTTATTGCTATATTTTCTTTTAAGAACTTTACAGCTTCGGCTTTCAGGTAGGTCTGTGATTGGTTCTGAGTTAACTTTTCTATTTGGTAGGAGGTGGGAGCACCAGGGTAATTCTTTTGCCTGTGGCTGCCCAGCTCTCATTTGCAATACATGATTGAACGGTCTTCTCAACTCTCTAACTATTAGAGGTAACTGTATTTGAAAAGTTTTAGACACGCTATAAAATTCCTTATATTCCAGTAATCAATGGATTATTTTTAAAAAGAGTAATTAAGAATAAGGCCGAACCTGGGATATTAGGAAAAATAGCCATGCTTTTAGCAGTAAGATGGACAGGTAAGGGTGGCATCGTGATGAAATTCCTTTTAGTAACTGTTCAGTTTCTTCTGAAGTTACTGTGCCATTCAAGTCCTTATAAGCTTTGTCTGTTAGTGAACTTCATGTCAAAACTGGAGCAAGTGACCACTGAGATTTCTCCCCTCAGATAGTATTTATCTTGTCTGTATAGCAGGTTTTTGTTTGTTTGTTTTCTTAAACAGAAACTGGTGATGAACCAATATGGTAGAATTTATACCAGCTATACATGTGGGCTCGAGTAAATTAGGAAAACTTGGAATTATTGGTATTTTGAACAAAAGAATCATTTTTTTTTTGTTCTCATCTATTTTTTGGTAAATGTTTAGAATAATTTCTGCTGCTCTGGGTAAGGTAGATGAACAAGAATGTTTATGGGGACAAAAAATGTTCTATTTTTCCTCCAGAGCTTGATGGATGTGTGGGACAAGTATCAATAGGAAACTAGGAAAGTAAAGGAATTTTTTTCTGTATTTCAAATTTATTGTTATCTAAGTTCTGAGTTGACATCAGTAACGGTAGCATGTCCAGGATTTGATTCTCTTCTGCTGGTGAAATTTCTAAACCTTAAATAGTGTTGTTACTTGATGTATTGTGTTTTTATGTTTCAGGAGCCCTAGCTGCTATGTCCAACGTGTTCATTATGAAGTTATTAGTAATACTCTTCCTTTGTGGACTTCTCACTAGCTGTAGAGGTAACTCTTCCTATAGCTCGGCACCTCAGTTACTTCTGGTGTCCTTTGATGGCTTTAGAGCTGACTACCTGAAGAACTATGACCTTCCTCACCTCCAGAACTTTATCAAAGAAGGTGTCTTGGTGGAACATGTTAAAAATGTTTTCATCACAAAAACATTTCCAAACCACTACAGCATTGTGACAGGCTTATATGAGGAAAGCCATGGCATTGTCGCCAACTCCATGTATGATGACGTCACAAAGAAGCATTTCTCTGAATCTAATGATAAGGATCCATTTTGGTGGAATGGGGCAGTGCCAATTTGGGTGACCAATCAGCTTCAGGAAAACAGATCAAGTGCTGCCGCTATGTGGCCTGGTACTGATGTGCCCATTCACAATATCACGCCTTCTTATTTTATGAATTACAGCAACTCAGTGCCCTTTGAGGAGAGACTAAATAACATTACCACGTGGCTCAGCAATTCCAATCCACCAGTCACCTTTGCAACGCTCTATTGGGAAGAACCAGATGCAAGCGGCCACAGATATGGGCCTGAAGATAAAGAAAACATGAGTAGGGTATTGAAAGAAATAGATGACCTTATTGGTGATCTTGTCCTAAAACTCAAGGTGTTAGGACTGTGGGAAAACCTCAACGTGATTATCACAAGTGATCATGGGATGACTCAGTGTTCTAAGAACAGATTGATAAATTTGGATTCTTGCATCGACCGTTCAAACTACAGCGTTATAGACCTAACCCCTGTAGCTGCGATTCTTCCCAAAACAAGTAAGTACCTGTTTAAAATAAGAGAGATAGACATTTTTTCCAGTCATAGAATTACTAATCAGTAGTCATACATAGTTTATATTTGCCAAGGAAACTCAGTGTAAAAAACTGTCCCCTTTCTAATTCAAACAAGACAGGCTACATAAAAAAAAAAGTGTCAGTTATTGAAAGTGCCTGTGTGTGTGTGCCCATCTCTGATACTGTCACATAATTACCCTCTGTTTTGAGAATTAAAAGCAATTTAATTAGATAATATTGCCCAGAATGTATTTCTGTTTATACTAGTCAGATGTATCTTTGCTTCTAAGTCAAAGACAGTTTTCTCTTTTTACAGATGTAACAGAGCTTTATGACAAACTGAAACACTGTAGCCTTCACATGAACGTTTATCTCAAAGAAGATATTCCTAACAGATTTTACTACCAACATAACGATCGAATTCAGCCTATCATTTTGGTTGCTGATGAAGGCTGGACAATTGTACTGAACAAGTCATCATTAAAACGTAAGCATTTATTTGTGGTATTTCTGTAGTCTCTAAAGGCTGTAGCGCACATTGTGACCTTGTTCTGCAAAGCAGGTACTTTGATCTAGTTATGCTCATACTGTACTGGTAGTCCAGTCTTACAAAGGTAGTTCTCAAGTGATTTTCACTAGACAGCAATTTACGGTGGCCACAGTTTCACTCTTCCATTAGATGGTCGCATAACTTCAGGGGAAAGCTGTAGTTTCATTTTCTAATTCCAAAAAGTTTGCCAAATGATGAAATCACTTAACTTGTGCGCTATGGTTCTGTGAGTCACTGGGCAAGAGTTGAACACACAGCTAACCAAGTTATCAAAGTAGATCTATCATAATGCTCCTCAGATACTGACTGAACGTATAGGGGTGAGGTTACATGTCTTGTCTCAAATGGGGACTATTCATCTGTATTTTGTATTTAATTTTAGTACTTTAAGAATTCTGATACTGAAGTCCATTGCAGGGGTCAGCAAACTTCTTTAAAGTGCTGGATAATAAATATTTTCTTGGCTTTGTGGGTCAGCTTTTTTTGTTGTTGTTTTAGCTACTCAGCTCAGCTGTTTCTCTAGCATGAAAACAGCTATGGCTAGTTAGCAGACTAATTGACGTGGTGTATGTAGTAGTGAAAGTTGCTTTACAGACAGAGGGAAAGACCAAACTTAGTTGCAGACTGTGGAATGTGGAAGTGTTAGGCAAGGGTAAAACAGACCAAGGGAGTTTGTGTTTTACTTATATTTATGTTGTTTTAAATACTTATTTGTAAACTTGGAAAATACAGAAAAGAAAAAAAAGATCACAACCCATCAGTATGGGAATATAGACAATATTATTTGTGGGACTTTGCATTCCCAATAATTTTTCCATGACACTTTACTTGAATTAGAATTTTAATTGCAGTGGAATCCTTAGAGACTTGTCATATCAGTCCACAACATTGCAACAAACTTCCATATCCCTGAAATGGAAGTTCATGAAATGCACTTGATACAAAGTCACAGGCAAGGTTGTTGGAGCAAACTGAAGAATCTGGTGTTGGATTTATATTGGGGATGGTTAGCCATGTTTTTCTTTGAGTCAGACATTTCCTGGAGTTACAAGCTACAGTTATTTGCATTTCCTTTACATTCAGTGCACAAATGCTTTCTTGAAAATCCTCACTTATCCAACCTTCCTGACTTTTGAGGTGTTCATTCACTTGCAGTAAATCACCGATGTGTTATGCCATGGTTTTTCTTAGTGGAATAATTGAGATAGTTAAGTCTGGGATCCCATCCTGCCATTCAGGGTCCTGTCTTCTCTCTCAGCTGAACACTTGAACACCTTTTTAAGCTATGAGTTGATAGCTTTTGCAACTAACACTGGAGATGGATAGATGAGTGGGTTAGGACTGAAACATAAACACCTCAGCTTGCAATGTGGTAAAGTCTAAAGCCATGCTTCATTGGAAACAGAGGATGTGCATGTGAAATGCCAGTCGGCCTAAGTTAAAGGAAGCACAGATTTTCATGTCTGGCTTCTATTTAGTGCAGCTAGGCAGAATCTTAATGGATGAGAACAAGACTGTCAAGAAGCTATTGTATTTAGAGTGAGCATGTTATATTGTAAAAGCCTGATGATTAATCACATAATTTTGTCTTTTTTTTCCAGTAGGTGACCATGGCTATGACAATTCTCTGCCTAGTATGCATCCGTTTCTTGCTGCCCATGGTCCTGCTTTTAGAAAAGGTTACAAGCAGAGCACCATTAATACTGTGGATATTTACCCAATGATGTGCCACATCCTGGGACTAAAACCACACCCCAATAATGGAACCTTCAGTCATGCCAAGTGCTTGTTAGTGGACCAGTGGTGCATTAATCTCCCAGAAGCCATTGGAATTGTTATTAGTGCCCTATTGGTATTAACCATGCTAACAGGCCTCATAATATTCATGCAGAACCGGGTGTCTGCTTCCCGGCCGTTCTCCCGCCTTCAGCTGCAGGAAGATGATGATGATCCTTTAATTGGGTAAATCGCTATGTCTTATAAACTTAAAAACTAAGGATCCACACAAGGAATGGTGTTGTAGTCATAAAAAGGTATATTTCAAAAGATAAGACCGAAACATGCTTAAACTACTCCGCCTTTTTTGTTTTGTTTTGGTGTGTGTGTATTGTTTTGGTGTGTTGCCTGATACAAATAAACCTGACAGTACTAGTATTTCTGGTAAAACTACCTGGTTTCCTAACAAGAAATAACCTTTGAAAAAATACTCTTTCTTTTTTTTTTTCCTAACTTCCTTCCTTCCCTCCTTTCCTCCTTCTCTCCCTCCCTCCCTTCCTCCCTCCTTCCCTCCTTCCTTTCTTTCTTTCTTTCTCCCTCCTTCCTTCTTTCCTTCCTTTTTCTTTTTCTTTTTTCTTTTGTTCATTCTTCCTTCCTTTCTTTCTTTTCAATAAAAATATAACTTTAAGTGAAAATATACCAGAATTTAATAGGCGTGCTTTTCTAACAAATTTATATATTTGTAAATGACACAAATATTTCTGTAATTTGTGAGTTTTGTGTATCCTGGAGAAAAAGTTGTGTATATTTTTTATATTTGTCTTTAATTGGTGTGTGTCCCAAGAAAACTTGAAGTAGGAAATTTTGTGATAGTTAATAAAATTGATTAGCCACACAGCATAACTATAACATACAAAGAAGTCATTTAAGTGAAGCTGCTAAAAGCAGAACAAACCCACGGAAGACTATGTAATGTAAAGCCTGAGCTTGCTATGACTCTTAAACTGTTGATGCCCCAGAAGTTGTGTCTGTGGAGTTGACATGGTGGTGTACACCTTTAAGTCAACTAGTTGGGAGCATGAGGCAGAGGACCTTGAGACTGAGTCCATCCTGGGTACATAGCAAGACCTTGTGGTTTTGTTTATTTGTCTGTTTAGTTACATTTTTTGGGATACTACTTTTAAGAAGTTTCAAAGAAAATAGAGAAAAGTTTTTTGTGTTTAATATCTCTGGATAAGTTGTGTGTGCAAGCGTGTTTATGTGTAAGCGTGTTTATGTGTGTGAATGTGCAGATGTCATGTGACTTACAAAGGGGACTGGACACTGCCAGAGCACAGCTGACAGGAAAGGTTCAGCTCAAGGGAAAGGTTACTTCTTGCACATCTTATTTGTCTACTTTCACCAGCTCACAAGTTAATACCCCAATTTAAAACTCATTGTTGTTACAATTTTCAATTCTCATGTTTATTGGAAGTATTCAAATGCTGTAGAAAAAAATATGACCTTAATATAAAGCTGAGATATTTTAATGTGCCTTCTGTACAGTAGAGTGGTAAGAAATGTGAAATGTACTTTAGGGTCTCTTGTGGTCCCTTGGGTCATGTGCTAAGGGCAGAGCAGCTGCAGCCCTTCACTGAGTCGTCCCAACACAGCGGGAACTGAGGATCTGTGGAGAAGCTGGTCATCATCCCCTTGCTGGCTGCTTCCTTGGAACAGAACTAGTACAATGAACAGCCTATGATGTCCGTCAGAGAAAAGACCAGTTAGTCATATTACTAGTGTGATCTTTGACATTGTGACAATACAAAATGAAGGTGGTTATTGTTTTTCAGATACAAGATGGGTCTACAGCAAGTATGCAGTGCTGTTAAACACTGCTGACCTGTGATGAAAGTTGACACTTGTCTGTCATCTTAGATATAGTGCATTGGATTGGCTCACTGCTGATTTCCTAAAATCTGATATCTGGTGCCCATTGTATTGGGGTTTTGAGAGGCATTTCTGTACTGCATATGTAACTATGCTCTTGTTCATAAAGTGGCTCTTTTAGGGCCAGATTAGGCTTGATTTTGTTCCTATATGTTCTGATGTATTTTGTTAGATGCACTAGTGATGCAGAGGGATAAAGAGTTGATCAAATGAAATACTAGAGAAGTTCCTGCCTTCTTTAATTTCAATTAAAAAATAGCAAATGAACTGCCTATTCACTTTGAAAAATTAGTGGACATTTTGAGCTGTCTGCCCACAGAGTATTTCATACTAGCTTGAAGATGGCTCGGTTCCTTCAGTGCTGTGGACTCCAGTGACTTAGCTCGATTGCAGCTTATGCTTGGGGTCCACCTGTGACTGGATTTTTATGAAGGGTGGGATGGGATGCGATGTCTTGTCAGTGTCAGCCCTTCCAACAGATGTATTTATTTTATATTTTATTCTGTTCTCAGAATACTAGAACTAGGTAAATTTTTATAAAGTGCTTATCCAGGAAACAAGAGTAGTATTTATTCAATCAAACAGATTATCATATTGAACTTTATGCTAATCTGTTTGTATCTTTGGGAAAAAAATCACTGTTAAAGCTCATGTCTCCTGTTTTCCTCCGAGAGAACCTTTTAGTAAAGCTAGCTTTTGACATGGAGGTTTGTGTGCTTCCTGTTCAGGAGAAAGTATTTGGCTTCAAGAAATATTTAGCTCTTGATGATAGTCCCCAATAGGAAAGTGTTTTCCTGTGTATTTCTGTTAATTGCACTAGTCATCTTAGCGTTATGTACCTCAATGTTCTAGTAGAGGGCCAGTCATGTTGCTGTTAGCAGGATAGCATAGATGCTCTTTTGTAAGAGCAATGGGGTATACCAGAGGCTTGCTAGCAGCGCTGTACATTGGCTTCCTTTAAGAATCCACAGGGAAAGCCTTGGAATATTAAAGGATTGAATCCCTTTGCACTGGGCTTGGGCTTTCCCTCTCATTCCTACCTTGTAAACTTTAGGGATGATTGGCTTTAAATTCCTTTTACGAAGAATGGTTTATCATTGTTAATTTATGTTACAAACAAAGGACAAAGATTAGGTGTAAAGTATGTATTTATTGTCAGTTCTGAAACAGCATGTACATACACTGAGTATACTTTAAGACAATTTATAGTGCCTTAAGTTAAAGGAAATACATTTTGACCATATTGTTTCAACTTGTAGCTAATTACTTTGCCTATGATTAAAATGTATGAAAATAAAGTCTACACAAACACACCAGCCTTCTTAATTTGTCATCTTCTTATAACATATACATATGAGAGATAAATTGTTATGACTTAAATGGTTCTGTGAAGACTTTTGTAGACACTCATTGCAGATCTTTTAAAACTATGGTTAAGGTTGTATAACAGCCAATTTATAAAACAATATTTAAAATACGTGTAGTATGAAGGCATCATTGGCAAGACAGCCAGAAAAAAATTGCAGAACCTCCTGAACTAGTTTACAACAAAAGGGAAGAAAACTTTACAAACTGACTACTGAAAGTGAGACACAGTTACAGTATCTAAATTTTGTCTTTTGTGGAGCTATAGACATTTAGTGACTTATCCAAAAGCATATAGATCCAACTCCATTTCCTCCAGGAGCTCATTCATTCAGTATTTTTAAATTCAGTAAATACTACTAGGAACTGGGAAAACTATTTGTTCTGTACTCTGGAAGAGAGGTCTTCGAAAATTGGAAAACTTTGTAGAGATGACTCACATCTACCTATGGTTTAATTCTTGGTGTTGAGGTGTGTGGACTCAGAGTCATCTTCTAGATCCTCTACTTCCAGAGTTTGGATGTTCATTTTGCATCTTTCCCAACTATGCTTGGGTATTGTATTGTCCCTCCCTAACATGTACTGTAGCCATTGCTTGAGAGAATATGTGAAAGTCCAGAGATCCAGGTGGGTCCTAGGCTGCTGACATGCAAGATGCTGATTTTTATTCTAAACTTCTTGAGTGTGGTGATTGTCAGTGTCAACATGGAACTGCTCTCACTCATGTCCCCTAGTTAGAACTGTTCCTCAGGCAAATACTGGACTGCTGCTGCTCAGGCCTTCTGCCAACCCCTGGGAGTTTGAATGTAACTAGCCCCCATGGGCCCATAGGGAGTGGCACTATCAGGAGGTGAGGCCCTGTCGGAGGAAATGTGTCACTGTTGTGATGATTTGTGGTCTTGTATGCTTAGGCTACAGTCAGTGTGGCAGATAGTATCCTGCTGCCTGTGGATCAAGATGTAGAACTCTCAGCTCCTTCTCCAGCACCATGTCTACCTACAAACGGCCATGGGTCCCACATGACAATAATAAGCTAGGCCTCTGAAACTGTGAGCCAGCCCCAATTAAAGGCTTTTTAAAACAAGGGTTGCTATGGTCATGATGTCTTTTTACAACAATAGAAACGCCAACTAAGACAAAACTAAGACAATACCCCAGGGACTGGGGTATTGCTGTTCTAAGCCTGACCATGCTTTTGTTTGGAGAAATGTGGATCCTGGGACTTTGGATTAGAAAAGCAGTTGAATGCTTTTAAGTGGGGCTGAAGGGCCATCCTATGGGCACATGGAAGACAGTGGTGCCAAGGATGATTTGAACTGCGGGGGCCTGGCTCAAGAGGTTTCCGAGAAGAGTGTTAGAGTATGTGACCTAGAGACTGTTCTTGGGATATTTTGGCTAAGAATTTGGCTGCTTTTTGCCCTTGTCCAAAAAGTATGCCTGAGGCTAAAGTGAAGAATTTTGGGTTAATTGCATTGGCAAAAGAAGTCTCAAAACAGCTTAGTTTAGACTCTGCTCTATGGTTACTGGTGGGCACTCTTCTGAAGAGCATATTAATGAAAAGGAGCAAACTAAGCAAGGGAAAATATAAAATGTGTGGCTCAAAGAGATAGGGGGCACCAGGAGGTGGAACTGAGCTAAATCCTGGGTTCAGGGAGTTAACAGATTAACAGTGTTAAATGGAATAAAGGGATTGGTGACTTCAAGGTAAACTCCCACCCAGCTAAGTTTCCATCTTGTGAAAGGAAATTAGAGAACAGTTTAGGTCCTAGTCCACACCTTCCTGTGTGACAGTCTGATGGCCACTCCCCTAGATCGTGTGTGATTCATGGGCACCATGCTTAACCTCACTTTTCATAAAGACAGTAGATATTAGCTTCAAAACAAATCCAGATATCCTTCGTAAACATATCTGAAGAATTTAGCATTCCTCTCTAATTGATAAGGCTAGAACCACCCTTTCTCATCCTCGCACCCCCCAAAGAATTAAAGAAATAAACCTGAGGATGTCAACCATGTGACTTACATGTCATTGAGAGAACGCTGCAGTCCAAGCTGCAAAGGGCAGTCAGTTTATGGGTCTATGTCGATCAAACAGCACTTCTGACTGTGCTGAAGACACTGAGCTTTTTTTTTTTTTCATTTAAACTTCCTGTGAAGGTGCTGTCCCTCAGCTCACTTGCTTCCTTTGTTTTTGTTTTAATTTGTAAAAGGACATGTAGAACGTTATTCTCAAAATAGTAGACTGTGTGATTCAACAGCTGTCTTGCTAAAGACTGAAGAATCAGAAAAAAAATTATAAAGTTCGTGCTCAAGGTTTGAAGAAGTTCAAAGGAAGTGAAGAACACAAAGGCCAAGACTGGAAACAAGGAAAAACTGTGTCCATCTGACTACCCAGTGGCACCTGTGAATTCTGGAAAAATTTGGGGGGACAGATAAGCTGGCCTCAATATGGGGTAGGGGCTGACAGGGTACATATTGTCCCTGTAGGTTGTTTAATCATAAGACTACTTTCATACTCTTTGGCACAACTGAATTTGGACATACAAATGAAATGGATAATTTCCTAGGGAATTAATTACACAGAGAAAAATACAGTGGAATGATTTATTTACTTACTAATTATTTAATTTTTACAGCAAATTTTATTGTGCATATATACAGCACAATGTCATGGAATGAATACAGGTATTAAAATGGTTGTCGTAGTGAAACATAATCACATCTATCATCCCATAGGCACCGTATCAATTTCTGTATCGAAAACAGGTTCCAAAGGTTCTAAGCTATTGTACAAAAATGTATCGGTCCAAGACCACAGTCCTTCTCAGTCCTTTTTTTTTTTTTAATTTTTATTTGCTACCATAACAACAAAAGTTTTGAAAAAAGGAAAAATTTAGGTAAAAAAAATTTTTATATGAAACCCAGTAAAGACAGAACAATCATCTGGAAAATTAAACTTGAAAATTAATTAAATGTAAAGGAACAAAACACTTAAATGAAAATGGCAGAGGTGATTAAAATGACGAAATAGCAATATTTGGCAGATAATGTACAAGAGAGATGCTTTAACTGCAGAACTGTAAATTGAAAAGAAATGCGTAGAAATTGGCATGAAACTGTCATCTGAATTAGCTGTGCTTAATATCAAAAGCTTTCAAGACCAGGTTTCAAAGCTGGAGAAAAACATTGTATTATGGCCTGTACAGATGAAGAGACAGCATCATTCACCCAAAACACTAAAACATACAAATCAAAAACTGACAGAAATAGGGAAAGAATCTCTAAACTTAACAGAGAGAGAGAGAAAAAAAAACTAGTAGTTTTAATTGGTAGAACTAAAAGAAAAATGTCAGGCAAGGAAAACAGACTTGCCATCAACCATGTTTGACACTGAGAGAACACCACAGTGCAAAGGGCATCTTTCTAAGTACATAGAATTACCAAGACAAGGTGTTTACACTGTCATACAAGAGTCTCAGGAAACAGTCTTAAAGGATTACAGTCTTATAAATTACACTTTATGACCAAAGGGGAATTCAATATAATGTGGAAAAATGTTTTGGAATTAAACTGTATGCTTCTAAGTCATGAAGTAAACCATGAGTCAGATGGAAAGGCAAATATGTTACAATTCCCATATAGAACCTACTGAATTCAAAGATATGCAGATAAAGCCCTATTTAGGGGGAAGTTACAACCTAGACTTACTCTCTTAGGAAATGTTCAAAATCAATTTAAGCTACCACATTTTGGAAGCTAGTAGAGAAGAAAAAGAAATTGCAAAGATAAAAATCTGAAATTGAAAAGACAGAGAAAAGCAATAAAGCCGAACTTTTTTTCTGCAGCCTTATTAGTAAAATGGTGAAGTCCACAGTAAGCTAGCACAAATTAATAATATTAATTAAAAAGGGAAGTCACACTACAGTCCTTCAGTTAGCAAAAAGATGCCAATGAGTTTTACGATTTAGATAACATGGACAGATTCTTGAAAAAAAAATCAAAATTAACACAAAGTCAAAAAGGAAGTCTTAGCTGCCTCTATTGAAATCAGAAGTCGTTAAAAATGTTTCCAGAGAGGAAACTCCTAGACCAAGTGGTTTCATTAAGTCTATGAGAAATAGTATCAGTTTTATTCAGACTTGTAGAAAATGGAGTAAGGAACCAAAAATATATGAAGGTCTGAAAAAAATGTATCATTCTTTATGAAGAAAAATCTGTGAATTCAGTGTTGCAAAAGATGATGTACTTAATAAGTGTTTTTTTTGTTATAGTAGTGCAATGTTATTTTGATTATTTCAAATCAGTCTGTTGGACCTGGAGAGATGCATCAGTGATAAGAGCCTTGCTCCTCTTGAAGAAGACCTGAGTTTGATTCCCTGTACCTGAACCCATACAGACTCACAGCTGCCTGTAGATGGCCTCTTCTGGCTGTGTGCTTCCGCACTCTCGTACACACAGGCACTCCCCACCACCCTCCACACACACAAAATTGAAAGTTAATCTGTTATACTTCATACTAACAGGGCAAAAAGATTAGAAACGAATTTGCTAAAACTCATCATTTATTTAAACAAAAGGATGAAACTTGGAAGAAAGGGGAATGTCCTGAAACTATTAAGTAGCACCTATGAACCAAACCAAGTAGAAAAGCTACTGACAATCATCTACATGATGAAATACTAAATGTTCTAAGTTCAAAAATAGAGAAGTCTGAACTCACGGCATTTGCTTAACTGAAGGATGTAGCACATGTTAAAGAGTAAATGGCCGTTTGGTGAGTCCATTAGTAGCTAGCTAATCTTAGACAGGTGACTTAGCTTCCCTGTTTGCACCCTCATGTAGAAGATGGAGTAAGAGCAGTAGGAATCCATGTGGCTGTTGCAAGAATTAAAGTCACTTTATGCAATGTACTTAGAATCTTAGCAGGGAAATGGCAAGTTCCTATAAATGTTGGTGCATGCCATTACTCCTCCTATTTTTGTGATTATGTGTGTCTGAGTTCGGTCTGTCCAGGCAAGTAAATGCTGCTGGAAACCCTAAATCTCGATTTACATGTGGTTATGAGTCAACAGATACGGGTGCTGGGAACCAGACTCCCATCCTCAGCAGGATTCCTGATCCCCTCACTCTCACTGGTTACAGTCTTTACACCTAACAGTGAATCAGGGAACTCTTCACCAACAATGGTGGAATTGATGATTCAGAACAATAAATTGTAGTTTACTGTTGCCAACAGAGTGACATTGATATCATCTACCTACTGTTCCCCTTTATCTAACTTTTAGTGGAATCATTGTTCTGTGCCCTTAATGACATAATGACTTACAGGCCTACAGTTAATTAGGAACTTGAAAGTTCCCAACCACTCTTGTTTATAACTCAGTAGTACCTGAAATAACTACACAAACCAAGATTAGTCTGATTATTGGAAAACCAATTTGTGTCCCCCTCAGAATTCATGTCTGGAAGCCTTTGCCTCCCATGTGATTGATTGATTGATTGACTGATTGATTGATTGATTGATTGATTTAGCAAATGAGGGCTTTGAAAGTTTCAGTGACACTAGATGGCGCTCCCACAATGGGATCAGTGTCTTTTAGAGGAGGAGGGAGAACAGAGCCTTCCCCTTTCCAACCACTGTCTGCCTTTGGCTTTGGGGAGTTGGCCATCTGCAGGCCAGGAAGAGAACTCACTTGAAAGTGCTCTGGGACTTTGGACCTCCAGAGCTGTGACATAGTACACCTACGGCAGCTGGCGCTAGCTACAATACACTTCCAACACAAGCATCCCTTTGCACTGTCGTTTAATATTCACCCTCTGATTCTAAGACGATGTTATTTTTACAATGTCATGTGTGCAACTTTGGAGGGCTAGACTTTGCAGTCAGCATCATTCCTCAAGATGCACCCAATTCATCATAAATCCCAACAAACTCCTTATTGCTACTGTTTTTATTCTTAAAGCGCTGTTTATCCAACACTTTGAAGAATAGTCAGTTCCAGAGTTTGGCTATTAACATAAAGCCAGTATGAATATTGTGTACAGATTGGTTTCTGTGAAGATGTTTTTCATTCCTTTGGGATAAATACCTCAGAAGGCTAAACACTGGGACACATGTTTGGGTTTCTAAAAACTGCTCTTTTCCAGAGTGTGTCTCTGCTTACATCCCCGGGAGCAAATGGGTGAGCTAGTTCCTATACATCCCCATAGCTTTTGATGGCACACTATTTTAAAAAATTAAGCAATTCTAATAGATACTGTCGCATTTTCTGTGGTTTCAATTTGCACTGCCCCGTGGCGACTGGTGGAAAGCCATTGCACAACCATATTTGCCCCATTTGGTCTTTGGTGAAAAGTAGCCATAAATGTGCCTGCTTTGAAATTAAACGTGGGAGTTTCTTGTTGATAAGGACTTTCCTCTCTAGGCTTTGTTCTCTTCTCACGGGCTTTCACAGAAAGACAATATAGATGATTCCAAGTAAGTGGCAACTTCCCAGTTCATAGTCCCATCCCCCCAACGTGTGTGTGTGTGTGTCTGTGTGTGTCTGTCTCTGTCTCTGTCTCTCTAGTGGGTACTACACCCATTGGCCTCTTGCATGCTAAGGAAGCACTCTACAGCTGACCTACACTCAGTCCCCAGTTTGTACTTTGCTGACAAGTTTTAAGAACTCTGTCTTGTTTTAGGTTCTGAAATTTTTCTACTTTTTTCTTTGTTTAAGGGTGCCTTCCATTTTGAACTATTTTTTATTTAAAAGAAGTTGTGTTCATTGTTAGTGTGTGAACGGGTGCATGCATTCTACAGCATGCACACGGAGACCAGAAAGGGCTGCAGGAGATCCGACTCAGGACATCAGGACGTCAGGATGTCAGGGCTGGAGGTAGGTGCCTTTACACACAGAGCCATGTCTGCAGGCCTGGTTTTGAACTATGGTTTACATAAGATTATGAGGTTTGGTGTTTGTGTTGTTTGTTTGTTTTTGCTTATGGATGCTCAGTTACCTTGGTACCCTCCTTGTAAAGTCTTCCCTCCCTTCAAAGCTTTGGGACCTTTGTCAAAGTCACGAGTGTTTACATGAATGTACTTCCAGCCCTCTAGCGTTCCTTAAGCCCTGTGTCCCACTCTCTGCCAATCAGTGCTGCACTGATTATCACATTGAGACAGTAGGATTGGGTATCAGGTAGGATAATTCTCACTTGGCTCTTCCTGGTAGCTTTAACTCTCCCAGGGCCTGTGCCTTTCCACATAAATGTTGGGATAAGCTTGTGTGTGTCTCTAAAGAGCTCCCCTGAGAGTTAGATGATCAAGAGCTACATTAATTCTGGGTGACCTGACCATTTTGTTTGTTTGTTTGTTTTTGCTTTGCTTTTTTTATGTTGCAAGCAACCTATGAATATAGAGTATGTTTTCTTATCTTCTGAAGTTTCTTTCAATTTCCTCAATCAGCATTTGATTGTTTTCAGGATAAAAATTCAATAGGTTCATTTACATTTATACCTATTCCATTTTATGAGGTGATTGTAAATAACACTACATTTCGAATTTGCTTCTGCATGCTGTTAATATACAGAAAATGACTGGTCTTGGTACATGCTGTTAACATACAGAAATATAAGCAGCCTTGGTATCCTCGATGTTGCAGTTTGCTATACTAACTCTTAAGAAGTTTTTAGATACTTGTTTCTTTGTGATTTTCTACAGACATGACCATGCTCCCTGAAAACAGGGACCATTTTATTTCTTCTTTCCAAACATGTATGCCTGTTCTTTCTTTTCCTTACCTTATTGAAGAGCCTAGAGTTTGTCTTTCAGTTCATCTTAGCAAGAAATCAACACATACAGATTACAGATTTAGCACGCAGCTCTGGGTCAGGGTCAGCCTTTGTGGCAGGGGTTTGGTGTGCTTGGACTGCATGCTGCTAAGAGTCACTGCAGAGGAAGGAAGGATTTCACCAGTGAGCTGCTTGCTGGCTGTCACTTGGAGGAGGGACAGGAGATTCTACAGTTTATCCCTCTACATATATCCACGTGTTCATAGACCAGGTCATTGTCAGCAATTTTGTGTGGCTGTTCTGCTCACCCCTGTGCCTGAGTGGGGAAGTGTCTTAATCCTATGAGGACAGGATGTAAAGGTTGGGCCTCTTTTACAAGCTGTGCTTGCCACATCTCTCAGAAGGGCTTTAGTGCTGAGGGTGGGGAATGAAAACACTTCTCTTGGCTGTTAATTTTAAACATGTCCCCAACTAGGCCCAGTGAGATTGTCTTACCTGATGTAGGCACAGAGGCTCCTCTTCACTCCCAGGTAGAAGCCTGGTTGGGCTGCCATCTTTCTAGGCTAGGCTTTGGGAGCAGAGACCACCTGCTACCTTCTAATGGGTGAGGAATATGTGATGCTACTGTGCTCTGCATCTATCCTTTGCATCCCCAACGAGCACCACCGTTACCACTTCTCAGGGTCTTTGCTCCAGTTCCAGGGATATATTTGTGTTCACTGTGGAGGAATGAGACCACACGTGTCTATTCTGTCTTGTTCTGATCAGATGATTCCTGGATTTCATTTTTAAGTTTGTGTGTGTGCACGTTCATGAGTGTTCATGAATACCATCCACTTTCTTTTAGACACGCGCCTCTCGACTGCGGTCCCTGCTTAATTTGTTTCCGAGGCTCCACAGAACTCTTGGCAAGAATTAGGTGGCCTGTATGGAACTAACGTGGTTTATCCTCTTTTGCAACTCTGAAATGTAAAAGGACTGGAGTTCAATAATGTCTGCGCTCCACTTCATGCCACCAGGAACAACAAATAAGCAAAGCCAAACTCTATTTTGTTAAATCTCACTTGATTTTTAATGTGTTTAATAGTGTTGTTTTCAGAGAAGCAAATAATGACAGGCAAGAAAAAAAAAACAAAAACAAAAACAAAAACCAAAACACTGCAGAGATGCTGTCTGGTCCCTGCTCTTCAGGCCACTGCTATACTACACAGAAAAGAAATCTATGCACATGGCATCCTCATTATGGAACCAGGAATTCATCAACAAGGAGCAATAACCAATGTATAGAAACAAGATCTTTAGAATGCATCTTTCAGTATTTGAATCTATAGGAGGGAAGAAGCAAATGAAAACTTTGGTCCTTGGTGAGGAAGTATAGCTAGAAATGCCCACAATGCAACCCGCTGATGGAAACGCATGGCTCCAAAATGCAGGCTACAAACTTGATCCCACTCTTCAGCACTTTCATTTTCTCCTCCTCCTCCCACTTAAGGAGACAGATTTCTACGTTATTCAGGAATTGCTAGAAACTTCCTTCAGTCTGTACATGAAATGCTAGTATTTGGCGAGAGAGATGCAAAAGGTTGTCGTTTTCAACCAAGTTACTAGACAGAGTTATAAAGTGCATTTCAGAGGAAAAGTACATAGTAGCATCGTAAAGTACAACATCTTCGGTACTTTCAATTGTGCAAAGTTGTTAAGTATGTACATTATGTGTGCCAACCCCAAATAGGGCATGATCTACCTACTACGCCAGAAAAAGCCGCGGAGGGGTACTCTTACGCCTTTGATCATTTGCAGGCAGGAGTGTTTCGATCTGTGTGTGCATGTATGTCCGTGTGACTGTGCCCACATACGAATTAACTGCTTGATGGCCTAGGCAGATGTCTGCAGCTAGCTTCCTAGAAGTTGAAGGGTCACCACTGATATGATTTTGCAACCTCCACTTCAATACGCAATTCCATGTCAAAGAAGCACTAAGCTTGTAGCAATGGCTGGGCAACTTCGATCTGCATATAATGTAAAGCTGGCGCTTGATTGTGGAGTAAATGTTTAATGAGAACTACAAAGAATACAATGGCTATAACACTGCCAAGAGTGATGCCTATGTAATAAGGGTACGACTCCTCTTGCTCATATTCTCCTGGCTTGTCACTACCAAGGAGGAGTGTGGTACTCTGTGTGTAAGGAATTGCTTTTGGAGTTGCAGAACTGAGAAGATCCTGGACATTCCTGAATGATCCATTGTGTGGCAGGGCGGTGATATTGAGGAGGTGGCAGAGCAGTGGGTACAGATCTGTGGAGTTCATGGCTTCTTTTGTGAAATTCTTTCTGAAGGCAGGACCGTGGGCTAAAAATATTGGATGCATTTCTGCTAATGCATTATCATAACCATGGTTGCCTACTGTAAAGAGAAAACGCATGAATAAGTTAGCCAACCGGATGGCATTAAACTGGAAAGAATTGTCCTAATGGTGAATTTCTGACCTTAAGTGCAAATGTTATCCGATTTGACTTTATAAAAATGGAGTTATCTTTTATAATTTCTGTTGCTGTCAGCCCCACAAATCCCCTCGAGAAATCAAATGTCCCATGGTTACCCATCTTTCCTATGGACCTACACTACCTTAAACAGCAAAGAAGAATGGGAACCATGCAAAGCTGAGAGCCAAGTCAGAATGAGCAATGCAGGAGGATGGTTGATTTTGTTTTGTTCTGTGGCTGGTACCTAGCAAAAGCCTACTGGGTAGATAAGCCTCTAACTGTTTTTCTAAAGTAAGGTGCTATTAGTGTCAGTCACAAAAGCAACACTCGTAATCACCAATAGAAAGTGAAAAGAAATACACAAAGACAGTACAGCAGTCAAATTAGCCACAGCTGTGACCCCACTGTGAAAAACCAAGGTCAGAACATGTAGGTAGAGTGAAAAGCTTAGACTCTGGTGGCTCAGATGGAGAGCCAGCTTAGTATTCCGTGCTTTAATGTGGCTACAAATAAAAAAACTGAAGAGGTCTTCTGGTGTGCACATGCAGTGATTCCATTAAGAAACAAAAGGTTAAAACTGCATATTAAAAACTGAATGTATGGCTGGCACAGTATCGGAGTGAAGTCCTGGCCATGGTTACAGTTACAATGGTGACCAAGAAGACTGACAGGCTTTTATTTAAGAGCAGAAAGAAATATGACTCATGACTCCAAATGTATTACAAGTCCTTGCTTGCTACAAGGAAATTCACAACAGCATTCAAATGCAGAAAATGAAAATTCAAGTCAACCTCTCTCGAAAGTCACTGATCTGTCATCACAAACGTAATTTGAAATCTTCCTGTCAGTCAGAGCCACCTGCAGAAACCATTCTAAATGCCACAATTCTTTTCAACATATTCAAGCAAGAATAATGTTGGGCTTATGAGCCAACAGAAAATATCAGACTGGGTGCTAGTCCATCTGTTTAATTGATAATAACATTGAGAACTATGCATTGTATTATACGGAACTGACTTAAGGGTGGTTGCCTTCATTTCTGTGAGAAGTTGGGATTTAGACCCTACCTCGTCATATGAGACAGTAATGATAATGCTGTCATATGACGTGTTCCAGAGGCTCCGATTCAAGAGGAAATCATAAAGAACCGGGTCCCTGTTTTACAATGGCAGCCATGAATGTTTGAGTCAGGGACAATATTTACTAATGAGTGCCCGTGGTTCTCAGATTTCTTCACTGTGAATGACAGTGGCCCCCTCCTTGGGGGCCACATAAAAAGAGAGCTAGGCTGCGGCTGTGTCCTCACAGCACACCTAGACTGGGCCCAGGGATGTGCCTTTCTGATGAATTTCCTGCTGATTAGACACTGTTGTGTCAAGGAGCACACTTTGAGAACTCTCGCCTTTGGACTCTGCAACTTGTAAAATTCTGGCCAGAAAAGGACCACAGGAGCCAGGATTGAATTATCCATCAAATACATAAGCATACTGTACTAGAAACAGAATCCCCTGGGTTTTTCTATGAAAAAAAAAAATGTGACCAACCTATTTCGTAATTGTAGCTCACAAAACCAAACATCCTACAATGCCTCCTCAAACTTGTTAACTTTTAAAATATGAAATGTCCCCCAAAGACCAGTGGACTTTTCCGAGCAGTCCCTCCACCTGTGTAGTTAACAAACAGAACAAATGAAGGTGGGATTGTGCTCCCGGCTTCCTTGATGAGATCAGATAGGGATATACAGATTATTTGTGAGTACAAAGGGTTGGAAACCAGAATGCACGTGGCTGTACATATCTGCTTTTACGAGTCACAAATACACTACAAGCACACGGTCATGCAACTACTTTGCTTTCAGTCACTAAACAGGGCAAGAGCTCCATTCTGACTAAAGAGACATTTTGCACATTCTCCGCCCCCAGTATTGGGATCAAGCTCAGGGCCTGCTCCATGTTAAGCAAGCATGTGTGCCACTAAGCCACGGCCTCAGCCTTGTACGTTTCTTAGGTATACGTGTTAAGAAACATCCTCGCTGAGGACCAATACAACACAGATCCTCCAACATTGAAGTAACAGAGAGTTAGAAACATCAGTAAGTAAACTGTTGTATTATCCACAGCCTCCATGTTAGCAAGAAACGGTGCAGAATGGGGAGAAATACGATAACATACTCACACAGGAAATCATCTGACTTATTCTGCAAAATATGCCACCCTTCGTCGGCCACCGCTACGATCGGCTGGACGCGGTCATTGTGCTTGTAATGCCATCTTTCCGGAATCTCCTCCTTTTTGTAGACTGTTAGATTAGGATGGGCACTGGCCAGTGCGTCATAGACTTCATCAAATTTACCTAAGGAGAAAGGAGGAGAGAGGGTCTCAGGACAAGACTCATGCTCCCACAAACACCCATGGTGGGAAAGAGACTCCCAGCTGACAAAAAGAGCAGGGAGGCTGAATGTGAGTAATGGGTGCGGGAACTCCACACCCTTAATGAGAAAGAGTCTTTCGGGGGGGGATAGAAACAAATGCTTCTCTGGTTAGTTCATCCTCTTACAGAATAAAGGAATAAAGAAAGGGCTTTTTTTTTCTTTTCCAGAAACAGTACTTCTCTCTCTAAACCAATATACATATAGACACACACAACCATTTGTACTATAGATGCCGAGGTTTTGTGAACCCCAAACAAGAGAACACTGCTAGAGTAAACAGATGGCAGCCAGACACTGTGGATGTGGAAACAGAATCTCTGCAGAAGAGAGCAAGGTATATGGCAGTTAGGAGAAGGGAGAGAATGAGTAGAGGAGGAAAGCAGCTTGAGAAACGGAAGAGCCCTCGGTATGGTATTTTGGGAGTATTGGGGAACTCGCCAGAACTGAAAAATGTGCCACACCTAGCCGCCATCTTTAACTCCCGTTCCTCAAATCCATTTGCCAGGTCTTTGTCTCTCTAATCCCCACACCTCAATGTGAGAAAACCACAAGACCAAAATCCAGTTGCCTAAGGGAATCTAATGGGTTGATATAACTCCTGCAAAGATGTATACAGGCACACACACATGCTTCCACATCGCTATTTAATAGAGTTTGCTTAGCTCCCCTGAGAGGACACAATTCCCACTGGTGAGGCAGTGCAGCTTTTCAAAATCCTTTCTCTCCCTTGATCTAAGAAGAACCCTCCAAGATGCTAAAGTTGCATTCAGAAAAGCAAGCCCTAGCATGTTCAGCTACGTAGTTTGTAACCTCTCTTCTGGACCCTAACACTTTACCTAGCTTTAAAATGTAGCCAATGCTGAGGTGACAGTTTGGAAAGGAGGATTTCAGCAGAAGCTTACGAAGGATGCAAGGCACCGTTGAAATTTCCTGACAGAAATTAAAATAAGCCTGAGATCGACAAACACACTTTCTCCTTCCCTATTAAAGAGGTCCCGGGTAAGGGTCGATAGGTGGTCACAGGCTTCCAAGAGATGACTGAAATTGTATCCAAAGGCCACATCCGTTTCTCTTGAGAAGAGGAATTGTAACTTTTATCATATTTTGTGATTCTAAAATGCTTAAAATCCTACAGCCAATGTGTCAGTATTGGGGGGGGGGTTAAACTCAAGAGAAAGGAGACTTTTTTTGTTTGTTTGTTTTCAAAGTCTTAAGGACTAAATCATCATACACCGTCATGACACAAGCAAGCGACCTGGAAAGGCAGAAGCTTACACACTGCGCATGTGCAGCACCAGGCCCAGATCAACATGAGGTCAGACTTACCTTCTTTTGGCAGGATGGCAGCTACAGGTGAGTGGTCAATCAGGGTATAGTGGTCTTTGTCCAGATAGCGGTCGAGTTCTATCACCCTCTGTTTGGAGCACTGGGTCATCCCATGGTCACTCGTGATGATTAGGTTGACATTATTCCATAACTTTGCCCTTTTCAGCATCTTAATCAGATACCCTAACTTGCGGTCAATGTCCGCAATAACAGGCCCCATGAGAGGGCTGTCAGGGCCCACATCATGGCCTGTGTCATCAGGCTCTTCCCAGTAGAGAAGGCCGAGATTGATGGGGTCCTTGGCTGTAAACCATTCAATGATTTTGGCAACTCTGTCCTCAAAGGAAACAGACTCATTGTAAGGTAGGTAGTAGGTAGGGTAAGTCTCATGGATCTTTACGTCTGTCCCCGGCCACATGGCCGCGCCACTAGCGTGCCCTGCCCTCTGGTTCGTGATCCATATTGGTAAGGCTTCTTTCCAAAACTCAGAGTCATAAATATTCATGTGCTCCAGGGAGAAAGACTTGTTCAGAATAGGATCAAACATGTCATTTGCAACAATCCCATGGTTCTCTGCAAAGAGACCAGTGACCAGAGTGTAATGGTTGGGGTAGGTCTTTGTGATGAAAACATTAGTGACTTGCTCCACGTGAACACCGTATTTCATGACATAATGAAAATGAGGTGTCGGAACTTTATAGATGTAATCCCAGCGGAATCCATCAAACGAAACGACTAGAACCTTCTGCTGCTCAGGGTGGAGGGAAAACGTAGCTGAATAAGATAGGGCAGACAGCGTGCAAGACACCACGAGAAACTTCAGAATCATCTTCAAAGCCCTTGATCAGCTCAGCATCAGGTAATCCCTAGAATAAACATAAAAATAAGATCATGGTAATAACTGTGATTTGTATGTTTTCTTCCAAACTGAGAGTGATGGCGATTGGTGATCCCATTCATATCATTATATGGGAAAATTACGGTGCAGAACTCCATTTGACATAGGACACCAGGGACAAAAAGCTTTAGTGCCACTTAAAAAAAAAAAAAAAGCTTTTTACTTTCGGATAACCTATCAAAATATATTCCTCAAAGGAATTCTTTAAATGGGCCCCACAATATCACTTAAAAGAATGATTTGCATATGTGAGTTTTCAGAGACACGTTCAGGGTGATTTAGAATGCTATATTATATTATATTATTATACATAATGTTTTTATTTGGTGTATATGTATTGTATGTCACATGGATGTGTGTGATGTGTGTTTGTGTGTATGTGTGTTTGGGGTTCTATTCTTGTAAGCCATAGTGTGTCTATGGAAGTCACAGCTCCTGAGAGTTAGTTCTCTCCTCCCCCTACGTGGCTTCTTGGGGGTGAATCCAAGTTGTCAGGTTTGGCTTTAATTCAAGTGAATTCAAGTTGTCAGCATCTGTATCTGTTGAGCTGTCTCACATGCCCGACCCAGAATTCTAACCAGAAACTTTTATATAGTCTAACGATTGCCCAAATTCATTATAAAAGAATAACTACAGAAACTTAGCAACAGGAAATACCATTAACATATTCAATAGTGGTACTTAAAAATAGTGGTACGTTTGAGTTTTCTGTCTTGAGAGGTATTTCTAGAAAGAGGAAAGTAGACAAACATGGTTTACTGAAGTGAAATAAAATTTGTGGCTTTCAACTATATTTATAAACTGTAATCTATATTCATTTGCTAATAGCCAAATCTGAGGATTCTGTGCACAAATAGATTCTAATCTAAGCATAAATAGAAGCAATGATTCTTTGATTTGATTTCTACCTTCTCTGGGTTACAATCAGTCAGCAGTTAATCTTATAAATGAAACGCACAGAGAAAGCATCTCTCAGGATTCAGTTTCCTTGAATCCACATTCATTTTTCCTTACATCTGCATATGTTTCTTAAAAACCCACTGCAAGGAGGAAGCATGGATAAATGATCTATGCAGCCCTCACCAGCTCTCATCAGGCCTCCCATGAGGAGGCATCTTGTGCTTCCCCTTAACGAACTCACTAATCATGGCTCTAACCGTGCTTCATGCAGAGGAGTCTCTTCTAGTCAGCTTTTGCCGTTGTCGGGATTCAAACATGGTGAAGACATTCTTAGGAGTATAAAGAGGCCCTTCCTTGCCTTGCTACAGTCTAGGAAGAGGGGAGTGACCTACCAGCCGTGCTGGCCTTGCTTTCAGAAGTGTGAGCTATATACAAATAATACATATGATTTAAAGCGAGATTTGTTTTGTTTTAACTGTAGTTTCACCCAAACTACTGTTTTAGACATTGGTCTCAAGATTAGGACTGATTCTCAACTTTTAAAACCTAAACAATATCAAATTCATATTTTGTCTTGAATGCCACTCATTTTTGTCCAATCCTGGAAGCCACATTAATAATGGCTGGAACGGGGGGTTAACTGTGTACAGGGAACTGCAAATACACCGACTAACATTTTTGACTAATGCCCGCTCCTCCCACCCCCTTTCCTTTCTTTTTTCCAAATTTCTCTCCCATCTCACTAACACGAGAGAAATTACTATCAACCAAATATAATTTAACACCAAGAAAAAAATAAATCACACGGAACATATGATTTTCGTCTGTCTTAGGAAACTCAGTCAATTGCAGTAAATAGAAGGCAGCTAACTGTTTTCCTGGGGCAAACCGAAATGAGGAAACAGGCGCTGTCTAAAGCTCAGGAAGGTTCGTCAGTAAGAAGGAACATAATTACATGGGTGACATAACGCAGGTGGGGGTGGGGATGAAAAAAACCCAAAAAGACAAATCTCTCTCTTCTCCACACAGAAACAGCAGGAAGCCCTGAAAAATAAAAAATTCTCCAGATCTGGATGGAAATCGCCCTGGCCTTTCCATTCCTTCCTCGCCCCAGCTCTTCCCCTACAACCTGGGCAATCACGAGCACCAATCAAAGGGCAGAGGAGGGTAGAGAAGAGGAGTGGGTTCATATAAAGGTGTTCGCGGGGGTGGGTGGGCCCACGGCCTCCTCCCCACCGGGGTTACTAGGCCTCACCTCACTAGGCCCCCTCCCCCCAGGCCGGTGACAGCCCCAGTGTGAGCCTCGGCAGGCAGGCCACCCGACCCCGGGAACTCACCGCGCTGCGATCGGGTCTGTCCTGGAGCTGTTGGGGCCAAGGGGTGGCAGGAGCAAGGGGAGCTGGCGGATCCCGTTGCCTCACCTGCACCGAGTCCCAGCGCAAAGCACCTGACCCTTCGGCGCTGCCCGCCCCGCTGCTGGAACGCCATTGGCTCCCGCCAGCTTGTCACTGTTAGCCGGGCAAAAATTCCGCTCCTAGGAGTAGTTGCGCTGCCTGTCAGTCAGAGAAAGTGGGTCGGGTTCTGTTTGGGTTAAAGGAGGGGGGCTTGGTGGCCAGGTTTGGGGATAGAGATGGGTGGCTGGGGCCTCAGGAAAGCCAGTCACTCAGAACTGTTCTTCTAGGCCTGTTGTGTCTGTGATGCCGAGGGACCGCAACGGATCGCAGTGGTTGGTGACCCGAAACTCAGCGTTCGTTACAAGCCACTTTTGTTCTAGCATCTCCTGTCTGGACTTTTTCTTCTGCCTTTATCATAAACTGGTGATGTCACTCAGTAAGCTCTAACCGGAGGAGGGACATCAGAAAACCCAAGATTGCCATGAGCTAGTGTTTATAGTTTGAGACAAGGTGTCACTTAGCTCGGGCTAGCCTGGAACTCGCTTTGTAGCCCAGAATGAGCTCAGACCCAAGATCTTCCTCTTCCAAACTCCTGAATTCTGGGGATTACTGTGGGGATTTTTGAGAGCTGTATCCCCAGCTCTCATTTACCTTTTATTCATGAACAGCTGCTGTCAAGCACTTTGTTAAAGGCTTTGGGAATCTAGTCAGCTCTGCACCCCAGTGTGTGACTTCCAAGAGTTTGCAGTTTACGGTTCTGAGATGGCCAAGCGGTCTCCCCAAGCAGTGGTGTCTGAAACCTGCAGCCAAGCCAAGCCAGACTCTGGGTTGGGTTAACTGACATCTGGCAGAAGGAAGAACTGATAACTGTATGGTCGCTGGCCTTCACACACAGCCACTAGGCCTTGAATTCAGGAAGGCACCCACATTTCTGGTTTGTTAGTGATCCAGTTTCATCGTTTCAATCTTTTTTGACTGTAATGAATGAAATTTTTAAGCGTAATTTGTGATACTTTGAGGTCTGAAGGGGTGTAGTCAGGGTCCCGATTTGCCTATTTGAGTCAAATTATATGTGCCATATAGGATAGCAACGGCACCATGACTCTCTGGGAGACTATGTGTAGGCACCCAGTTCCTCATCCTGATCCTAAGATAATTAAACAGAATTCTAAGTCTGTGGGCAATAGGCACAGACTATATTGTCTGCTTGACTGTCACAACTGAAGTTTCAACATTTAATCAGCTGGTAAGGCTGCAAGCATCCACAACAGCGACCTTGGTGTCCATCACCATCAAATGTCCTCTCTTCCCTGTGCTGGAGCCGTGAAGTTTGCAGCCAAGTCCTGCCGTCCTGTCAGATGAGTTGAGGGTTTTGCCCTTAGCCCTTGGTGTATTTCTAATGAAGGGGGCAGTTCCAATTCTAACCGTGGCTACTTGGTAAACTGGGCAGCGCCACCCCAAAGGGCATTTGGGCACTCTGCCATAGTGACTCCATGTGGGATGGAGACTGAGAGGGAGGTTGTTTCTGTGTGCAGCCAGACCCAAGACGGTGAAGGTGCACAAGTTGTTCCGAAGCCCTGACCTTTGAAATCGCCCAAAGTTGGAAGGAGGTGGTTCAAACTCATAAACCCTTATCTCCCTGCCCAATAAGCCAATTCTGTGTTCACCACAAACAAAGAACACCTTATGCTCATCACAGAGGGTTGTGAGAACGGGCACAGGCTCTACTCAAATGCCAAGCTGTCTTGCCCTGCAAACTTTTATGGAAGTCCTAATTGTTTCCACTGTCTGCACTTGCAAACTTGCACAGTGTAGTTCCAACTACAGCTCATACCACAGAAGACGACGCACGGGGACTCAGTGAGCTTGGGAACCACTTCTAGATCTCCACATAATAATATCTGCTGGCAACTGGTAGGCTTGCAGTATAAAACGCACATTTCTAGTGGGCTGGCTCCTCCTCAAACAAATGATTGATTGTCACAGCTTGTTGATAAACGTCCTGCGTCCACATCTGTACCCAGCCAGTTATTTGAATTTCTCTCCCATCACAATAGCTACTCAGCAAGTTATGCCAGCATGGTCTATAAGGGTTCCTTTATTTCAGTTGAATAAGCAGGGGAGTAACGGAGGTAGGAGTCTGAACATGGAACAGCAAGAATCCACTTTTGTTTCATGGGTTTGGGGTAGGGAGGTCTCTCTACCTTTTAAGGACCTCAGAGAAATCTAACGTGCAGTGGAGGGCTAGGTCATTCTTTTCCGTGGGACTGTAAAAAACATTGTGCTAAGCATTGGAATGATACCAGTACTTTATGAACTAGCAAAACAAACAAACAAACAAACAAAACAAATAAATGAAACATAAAAAAAAAAAACACAACCAGCTGCGCACAGAAGTCTTTTTTTTTTTTTTTTGAGGGGATGCCTAGAATTTAGCATGAGAAGAATGAACAACTTTAAAAGTATGGGGTGGGAGAGGTGGCTTAGCTGTTAAGAGAGCTTGCTGTTGAGTTGGTTCCTAGGACCCATGGCAGTTGGGCAGCTGTGCTGGCTGGTTTTATGTTAATGTAACATATTTATTGTGGAAGAAGAAACCTCAGCTAAGAAATGCGCCTGTTTGGCCCACGGAGAAGCCTCTGAGGCATTTTCATGATTGACATGGACCTGTGAAGGCCCAGCTCACTGTGAGTGGTTCTCCTCCAATCTGGGCTGGCCCTCCTGAATGTTTTAAGAAGGCAGGAAGCTTTGGGGAGCAAACCAGAAAAATATTCCTCCATGACTTCTCCATTTCTTGCCTTGAGATCATGCCACAGCTTCCTTCAACAAGGGACAACAATGGGGAGGTGAGAGCTAAAGCAAACTCTTTCCTTCCCAATTGATTTGGTCATGGTGTCTTATCACAGCAATAGAAACCCTAAGGACCGAGGACAGTGGCTCACAGCTGCTGGTTAATTCCAACTTTAGAGGAGCCAATGCCCTCTTCTGGCCTTCTTGAGTGAGTGCACAAATAAAAATAAAAACAAATCTGAAAACGAAACCAAAAATAAACCCAGCAATGTTAGGTTTGCATTCCGATTCACTGTGCCATAAACAAACAAACGAACGAACAAACAAAAAAAACTCTACTTTTTAATCCTTTATAGAACATTCTGCAAAATGTGGATCTCATTAATTCAGTAAGTAGAAGAAGGACCTACTTTGGACTCAAAGCCTCCAGGAAGTTCCTGAAGCTGGCCAAATACACTGGGCTCCCTGCTCCTCAGGGTATGTAAGCAATAAGCACTGTGGAGAGACACTCTCAGACCAGCTGAGCTCACTGATTAAAAAAAAAAAAAGCCCTTTTGTGCAGTATGCTCTGGTTTTCCAGCTTTCACTGGCTGTCACCCAGGATGGATTGGGCTTTGGTGGCATAGCTATTTGGGGGTTGTTTTTGTTCCTGTGAGTATCCTTTGCCCAGATTTCTGTAAGCAACTCCAGCAAAACTCATTCACCAAGTTGGACTTCGGTGGTACCCTTCCTCTGATTCTCTCATTTGGTGGTACCCTTGCTCTGATTCCCTGTTTGGGGTGAGAGTTTTTTTTTTTTTTTGTTCACATCTCCCTAGGAATCATGTCACACATTTTATCCTGAGACCCTCATGGTAGAAGGAAAGGGCCAACTTCTGAAAGTTGACTCTTTTAAATTTAATTTAATTTTTTATAATTTATTCACTTTACATCCCAATTGTAGACCCCTCCCTCTTCTTCTCTGGGTCCCACCCTCTCTCCCTTTCTCCGCTCCTTTATTTCTCAGAAAGGGGGAGTCTTCCTCCCCTACCATCTGACCCAGCCTATCAAGTCTCATTAGGACTGCTTCTATCTTCTTCCTCTGTGGCCTGCCAATGCCCTCACCCCACCAGGGAGAAGTGATCATAGAGCACGAAACAGAGTCCGAAGAACGGATACAGAAATTGTGGTACATTCACAGAATGGAATACTACTCCGCTATTGCGAACAAGGAAATCATGCAGTTTGCAGGCAAGTGGATGGAAGTAGAAAAGTTCATCCTCGGTGAAGTAACCCAGAACAGGAAAGACATGTATGGAATATTCCCACTTATAAGTGGTTGTTAGCCATGTAATACAGGGTAACCATACGACAATCCACAGACCTAAAGAAGCTAAATAACAAGGAGGACCATAGGGAGGATGCTTAACTCTCATTCAGAGAATTAAGAAAACAGAATAGATACTGAAAGCAGTTGAAGAGAGGGAACAGGATGGAAGCCTACTGTAAGAGTCCTCTGAAAGACTCCACCCAGAAGGGAATTGAAGCACATGCTAAGGCTCACAGGCAAACTTTGGATAGAGTGCAGGAACCATAGAAAAGAGTGGGACAATAGAAAGACCCAGAGCAGACAGGAGCTCCATAAGAAGATCAACAGAGCCAACAAATCTGGGCCCATGGGGGCCTGCAGAGACTGATGCACCAACCAAGGACCATGCATGAAAAGGACCTAGACCCCTACTCAGATATAGCCAACAGGCAACTCTGTTTCCATATGGGTTTCCTAGTAAGGGGAGCAGGAGCTTTCTCTCGCATGGACTCTGTTGCCTGCTCTTTGAAAGCTGACTTTTGAATTCTATACATACACAGTGGCCAGCTCCTTTTCTCCTTTCCCCACCCAATGAATAAATACAACGTTAAAAAATAAGAATTCTAGGCCATCCTAAACTACAAAGAGCTACCTTGTCTAATCCCATGTGAGTGGTAGAGATAACTGCTCACAGCACCATCCTCCCTACAAAGGCTCTGAGGGAACGAGGAAGGAATCCCTTTGCCTCCTGCACGCATCCCCAGTCTTTGCCTGCTCTATCTCAATGGTGTTCTCCTGAGTCTGTACTATCTCCTGGCTTATTCTTAGAATGGCAGCCTTGAGAATTAAGGTCCACTTTAATCCAGTACCACTTTCTCTAGACTCAATTACATAAGCAAAGAGCTTCCATTTAAGGTCACAATTTGAGATTCTAGTAAATGTGAATTTCGACAGGCCAAAACCAAGAGCATTTAGTTAGCAGAGGGTTAATTTTACA